AACATATAATAATAATAATTCAAGTGAAGAGAACATATCGTAAGCTAGTTTGTTATTTGAATTGTCGGGTTATCTCATATGCAATTAAAAACTGGTAACAAATTTAACATTTGAAAACGACCATAAATTATCACAAGATCTTTCCACTAAGGTACACATCATCATAAACGATATAACAATGCCTTTGTGCTCTACCTAGTTGGCTTTCATAATTCACATGGATAATAAACATTTTCACAAACTGCACAAATCCCTTGACATATTTTTAACCACATAAAAACAAATTCAACTTTCTATAAATACAAACATTTATTTCCAAAGTTGAGAAACAAAAAAAAGTGCATGCACATGAAATTATTTGCACACCTTATAAAATTAGCTAGATTTTCGTGACCATATACTAGCTAGCTAGTGTTACCCTCATGGAAAAGCTAATTGTTTTATTATTTCTCTTTTTACTTTCTTCAATCCAATGTCTTCCTAATAATAAGCTACATGCACAAATTAACTTATGTGACAAAACTCCATACCCTCAAATATGCAACTCACTTATCATATCAAATGTTCCACCAACATTGGAAGAATCCACCTTATTAGCAATTCGCGATAGTTCTCTCAAGATAACCCTTGATCATGCCCAAATGGTCCATGGATTGATCTCGTCGATGGACTTCAGTTCATTTGACAAGCGAGCCAAGGTTGCTTGGGAGGATTGTCTAGAGCTATACGAGGATACAATACATGAGATGAACCACACAATCTTAGCCTCGAGAAGTCATGATCATTCTATAACAAAAGATGACATCCAAACATATTTGAGTGCAGCTAGTACCAACCTTGAGACATGCAAAGATGGGTTTATTGATCTCAACGTGCTCATGAATTCAAAGATGTACCCTTTCACATCGACGAATTTTTCCCTATTGCTTACTAATGCACTTGCAATAAATGGAGCCCTCTCAACTATACCATTCAAGCTCTGCACATGGAAACGTACGAGTGGTGTTATTGGGAGTGGTGGTCGACGATTATTAGCCCATGGAATCCCATCATGGATGTCCATGCGCGATCATAAGCTAATCCATACGTCCATTTTTACTATGAAAGTGGACTTAGTGGTGGCTAAAGATGGTACCGGTAATTATAAGACTATATGTGAAGCTATAGATGCTACAAAGCACCTAAGAAATGGAATAGAGAGATTTATTATACACGTAAAAGCCGGTATTTACAAAGAGAACGTTGTGATTACAAAGAAGATGATGAATTTGATGTTAATAGGAGATGGAATTGATGCCACAATTGTGACGGGCAACAAGAATGTCTTTGATGGTTCCACCACCTTTCGATCAGCAACTTTTGGTGAGTTGATTAATTATTTTTACATCATTATGAATTCCTATAAAATAATAGTAATATAAATAATTTTTGATAATTTTGAGTTATAAATAAGCCGTGTAATAAGTATTTATTCCTAGAATATATGATGCATATTCAACGTATATCACATCAAAATCCATATGAATTACCAATTTTTTATATAAAAAAATTAAATTAAAGTAAGAAGTTTTTTAAGCTTTTGTTTGTATAATTGTATTATACTATTGACTATTGAGCATGTCGCTAATCCATGCTACGTGATGTTTGTAGGACAAGGCTTGCATTTAATGTGTTTATCTATGTCTAAGCAAAAAAAAATATAAAACAATATAATTGACTCGAAAAACCTAGACAATAAGAAATAATTATCATATCTGCTTCATATGCCCTCCGATCTTAATGTTCAATTCTTTCCCTTAGATTATATATGTTGTCAATATTACTTTGACCATAAATAAATATAACAGGTAAATAATAATAAATTACTTATGGAGGCGAATCAAATAAAACCCAACATAACTTTATTATGTTTTATATATTAAGAGTAATATTGAAGATTATCTTAACTTATAAATAGTGCTAAAATTCTAAACGAGAAAAACAAAAAGAATTGGAAGGAGTAATATATAACTTTTGACACCTTACATTAAATTGACTAGTGATGAATTGTCTAAATTTTTCCAAAGTGCATCCTCATATGATAAGATTACTTTAGTTTGCTCAATTTTTTAAAAGTTATAGTTGCTAACTTGCTACATGAAGATACCCATGCACTCATGTAGTGACTAGGCTTGATGGTTCTCGGTGCTTTTTCACATGAAAAAGAGCTACTCCATGTCTCCATATAATGTCATAATCTCTAATCTTATTTTAGTTATTTCTTGTGAAAATTGATCGTTTTTCTTAAAAGATTATTCAACCTAGTTAGTAATTAAGAAGTTGTGTTACCATGGAAAAAATAGTTAATCTTTGTTTACTTCCTCCATCCATTGGTACGTAATAATGAACACACTAGGACTTTCCAATTTTATTTCCGCCAAGGGGGGGCTGGGGTGGGCCATGGCCTCCCCCTTGGCTCAAGATAAAAATTAAATTTTGCTTATACTTGTTATAAGTTTTAGTGTAGAGGAGTTGATTTTTGCCATGTGATGGTGGAAAAGATGTCAAGAGTTCAAATCTTGCAACTAATATTTTGTATTTTTTTTTTTATAGTAAATGTAATCAACAAACTCAATAATAGTTGCGAAATTACACATATATAGATATGATCATAACTTGCCTCCCCCCCTAAAAATTCTGGTTTCGTCACTGATTTCCGCTTATAATTTATTTCATGAAAATTAAAATTAAGTTCGGATGAATATTACTAAGTTCTTATATATGATAAATTCGAGAACAATAAGTTATGATTTAAGTGGTTCAAGAAATATAAAAGTTATCAAAATTGAAAAAACCAACTAATTTAAAATATATTTAGTCAAATTCAACTAAGTTCAAATAAACTTAGTTCAAATAAGTAAAGATAAGTTAAATTTATGTCTTTTAATATCTTTTTCATCCTTAATAACTGAAAGTTCCTAAAATAATTAGGGCCATCTTTGACAAAACAAATGGTATCAAGTACCTTTTAATTGTTGTTTAGCAAAGAGTAGGTGTTAAAGTAGCGTGAATATGCATGTTGAACACAAGTAATTGTTGGAATGTTAAAATACAATAATAAGTTGTAAACTATGTTAACAATTTGACAAACTTTATCTACCACTTTCGAAACGCCAATATATTTAACGTTTGAGAAAGACTATTCAAACATTACCTCTGTTATTAGGAGTAATTGCTACCTAATAAACCTCTACCTTACCAAACACTGTTGAAGAATTTTGTGGGTTTGTGGTAAGATAGACAATAAAAATTTAGATAATTATAAATTTTGAAGTATATTTTAAACATTTCTTGCTAGACAGATTACTTATTAACGTAAATGTCATGCAGCTATTTCAGGAAATGGCTTCATAGCAAAAGGCATAACATTTGAAAACACAGCCGGACCACAAAAACACCAAGCAGTTGCCCTTCGATCTGGATCCGATTTCTCGATTTTTTACCGTTGTAGCTTCAAAGGATACCAAGACACCCTCTACGTCCACTCCAAGCGTCAATTCTACAAAGAATGTGACATCTACGGTACAGTCGATTTCATATTTGGTAACGCGGCTGCTGTCATCCAAAACTGCAATATCTATGCAAGGAGACCTATGATCAACCAAAAGAACACAGTTACAGCCCAAGGAAGATCCGACCCTAATGAGAACACGGGGATCGTGATCCACGACTCGATCATCGAGGCTGCTCCGGACCTTAAGGTTGTCCAAGGTTCATTTCAGACCTTCCTAGGGAGGCCTTGGAAGATGTATTCAAGAACTGTGGTTATGAAGTCGAACATTGATGGAATGGTGGATGAAGCCGGGTGGGCCCCGTGGAACGGGGACTTTGCGTTAAAGACACTCTATTATGGGGAGCATATGAACTATGGTGCTGGAGCCGGTACCCGCGGCCGAGTCAAGTGGCCCGGGTACCATGTCATTACTAGTCCGATTGAGGCTGGAAGGTTTACTGTTGGGAGATTTTTGGCTGGGAATAAGTGGATTCCTGCCTCTGGAGTGCCATTCACATATGGCTTGTGATTATATTTTTAACTATGCTCCGTCTCTAAAAGTTATTTCTATTGGACAGTAATTGTCTTATAAAAAATTCAAAACACGAAGAAAATTTAGACACGAGTAATCTCTGTATATTATTACTAAGTACTTGTATATGCTAGTCATCGCTGTAATTTATAGCGTGTGGCAAGCTCAAATCATATTGTATTACTATTTACCAACATGTAAAAATATTGTCATAATTATTTGTAAGTTGTTGGGTCATTCTTCGAGTCCAATGTACATTTTTAAAAGTGAACTTGTAATTAAAAAAAATAAAAATAAATAGTACTCCCTATGGTTTTTTTTTTTTTTTTTTTTTTATTACCTAGAGTTAGATTTGCACATTTGTCGAGACACAAATTTGACCATTAATATCTTTAATTAGATGTTAGTAAATATTATGAAAAAAATAACTTATAAAAATAGACATTATTACAAATCCAACAACATATTATATGATCATATATATATATTATATATTGGTAAAACAATTAAGTCAATGATGACCTATAAATAGTGGAATTTTCCAACTCTAGCTTATAAAAAAAAAAGGAGGGAGTAAATGAATTCTGCTTGAAGCATTTTGCGATAGTTTTCTCAAGAATAAATCATAATTAGAACACTTAATTTAAAGAGCATAGCACTAGCTAATTTGTTCTCACATAAGGAAGGTGTTCTCGATTCTCGCCTGATTTTTATTGCCTAAACAAATTATATTCACATAAAGGCATAAGACCGGCATTAGCCATTCCACACTGGCCACCGACACTTGCATCTTCTACGTCTGTCATACCTGTCCCTGTGGACTTGTAAAGCATGGAGTAGAGTCATATTGGGTCATTATATGACTGTATGTTCTTTTCAAGTCAACTTCGATACCTAAAACAAAGTTTAAAGCCTGGTAGCTAAGAGAAGCTTTTATATGCCGTCTAAAGAATTTGCACAGTGAAATTCATTACAAATCAGGGTTGTTAATACAATGATAAATGAGGGTAAATCTACAAACATAGCTCACAAAGTATGTATGGAGAGTAGACAAGGTGACTTCAAATTTCCACATTTCCAAATTTCAATACCACAATTCGGTTAACTGTAACACATCATTTCAGATGCATGAATCTTGGATTCTTGGGTCTTGACTACCGTGTTTCAAGGCTTCTGAAAGTGATCTTTGTGCCCTGATTGACATGCTGTCCTAAACCATGGCTCTACTTACAAGCCAATGGCAGTGTAAGGCCTGGAATCTTGCACCAGATTTTTCAGCTATTTCGCACAAATTTTGGCAAGCTGCTCAAGGTTCTTGATACCCACAATAGCAACAATAAAGTGAGCCACCAGACCAGCTAATATGCAAAGCAATTCAACAGCTGCATTAGTTGGTTAGGTTTGCTCTTGTCTTGTTGTTGTTGTAGACTTCACCTTCTCCAGTTGCTTCCGAATATAAGCCTGTCGAAGCTTTTCTCGACGAGCTGCTGCTTGTTCTTGCCGGCGTAACTTCAGTTCAGAAGTATTTACTCTGGCTTGATTCACCTCTTCATGAACTTCCCTACAAGCATCAATTGGAAAAAGGTAGAAAATAAGAAACCTACATGTTACACACATACTTATTATAAAAAAATAAAAAAAAAATAAAAAAGAAAAAAAAAGAAATTCAACAAGATCATAACATTACGCAGTGAGTTGTTGCATCCAAAACTGTTTATCCAAGTTTTTCATAGTTTAGCCCAACCATTCATAGTGGTTAGTCATTAACCTGCTCTCTTTTTGCAGCTCTTAGCTACTAGGCAATTAATCAATTTAAATGCTCAAGCTTGTGATCCACTAAAATTTGCAATTGCAAGATTATGTGTCTAGATGCTGAATTTCTATCATGTTAGGAGGAATGTAAGTTATGCAAGCCCTTCCTAGATGCATGTAACCCACTCTTCTGCTCCAATTCCTTATTCGAAATTTCTAGTTAGAGATTATGCACAGAATTACCAAATTCATGATTTCGTAGTACAATCAGATTGCAAGCACAGTACAAGCACAAATAAATACCTTACAAGAAATTCAGTTTAATTACAGGTGAAATGAAGAGGTGAGTTTAGAGTAGTAGTCTCAGCCTCTCAGATCTAGGAAACAAATCCATGATCGCAGAGGAGCAACACTAAACAATAACCCTACTATAATTCAACCCAAAAATGGATGATAAACAAACCAACAGTGTTTTTACTTTCAGAAATATAACAGAAAGATAAAATACCCCATGAGGCAAGTGTAGGAAATGATTTAAGAGCAGCTCAAGATGCCTCTAAAATACAATCTACTTGTATATGGTAAATGCTTGTCCTCACAAGTGATGCATCCACAGAAAGATGCTCCACATAGTAGAAAACAATTATGTGATAATTCCATCCAAAGTTCTTCCATATCTCTGCACAAAACATGTATGCAGTAGGCTATACTGCAAGTCTGCAACCATATGGAATAAATCACCTCATGTACTAAACGGCATGCGTATCTAACAACAATGAGTTTCTCAAGATTCTAACTGAAGAAATGCTATATATCTGGTTCTCTGGGACCATGAAGCCAGCAAGGGGTTGACAGTGTTTTATTCATCTTTTGTAAAGTAATTCCCCTCGATTTTCTATTGGGGCTTATTAGTCGGGCCTAATTTGTTTCTATGGTGGAAATACTCTTAATATATAATTCCTCCATTTTCTTTTATGTGCAACACTTCCGATAAATGGAAATGTCACAATACTTGCAACTAATCCCAAAATGGAAATTTTTTTTACTTAAAATTACTATACTACCCTTATTTAACCAGCCTAATTTTATGACTGCCCCAATCCCCTAATCATTTTAACTACACTGCCCACATTTCATAAACTTTCTCTCTCCTCAACCCCTTCTCCATTCCCACTGCTATGGACCTATGGCTGATCCACCACCAAAACCACCACCACCCCAGCCACCTTAGCCACCATCCACCCTCACCGAACCCACCCTAGTGACAACCCACCCTTGCCGTAACAGCCCAAGCAACCACCCACCCTCACCAAAACTACCTTATCCACCTTACCAAAACCTCCAACATCCTCATCGGAATTGCCAACACCGTCATTCCATCACCACCATTTACCCTCACCATCGTCATTAACACTGCGGTTGCCACCACCAGATCTACAAATTTAATCACCACCACCACTCTTCTATATCTACAAGTTTACAAACCTTAAATTAAGGAAGAGGAAAAATCATTGAAACAGCAAAACAAAATTGATTTTTAGCGAGCAGGAAGAGAGAGCAAATGATGTCAGTTGCTTATGCAATGAGAAGCCATTGCAAGAAACTTGCTAGATTAGGGTCCATTCTTCGATTGAATTCCTCAAAATGATATTCTGATCCCCAAAAACCCTATTCTTGCTGGAAACTGGTCTGATATTTTCCATTGGCAGGAGGTGGTGGTAGATATGTAGATAGGGTGGTGCAGTTTTTAACAGGGATGTGATTGATTAAGTGAGTGGGTTATTAGAATAATGAATTGAGTGTACAATTCGCCCCTTTTACTTTCTCTCTCCTTTTCCTTGGTATGTGTGAAAAGGTGTACAACATTGCACATAAAAGAAAACAGAGGAAGTATATAAATTCTCTAGTTCTTAACCTAGCCTAATTTCAGTAGTCAGTTTTCCTCAAGATCAATATGTGTGTTCTTGATTGTCGTTTATTTTCTGTTTTTTTCTCACATCTGCTATACAGAAGAATACGGATTACTTACATCAAAGTACTTTCTCTAAGGAATTCCACAAGGCTAAAGCTGTATAATTAAAGCTTCAAACTTGATGGAGTCTCAACTCTTCTTACAAACTTCTAATAGTCTAAAACTCTACATACACTACAATCAAACATCACTTTGATTTCCAATATTTGAGTACAATATTGTGCAATTACTTATCATGGGAGACAAGGGGCTCCGTGCTGCCCTGCAATCATCTATCCCATAATTGAAAGGAAATAAAGCCAAACCAACTTAGTTGCTCATAGTTTTATTTACCATTCCTTTGAGGATGTCCTAATATGTTTGCTAGTTTCTTAGTTTGATTACACCAATAGTTGACTTGTTAATTCCTTTCCTACCCATGATAATTGTGAAAATAACTTCACTTGGAATTTGTGACAATAAACTGTACCTAAACACACCCAAAAAAAAGTGTAAATTTAATCTAATCTTCTAGCTTATCTTCATATCAATGACAAGGAGAAATGAGAGAGGAAACATCACTACTTCCTACAAGCAATTGTTCTAATGCATGAAACCGAAGAAGAGTAATTTCATAAACCTTAAACAAAGTATATACACTCTGATATAGGGACTTGCCTGACAAAACGTTTGTGTTCATCAATGTCGACCGTTCCAACACTACGCCCCAAACCCATGGGCTTTGAATTGAAAGGTAAAAAATCATCATATTCATCAGTCTTTGCAGATACTTTACTAGAAAAAGAATCATTAGCTTGCAATTCCTGATGTCCATCTTCCTCTTGACCCTTGCGGAAAAAATCAACACAATACTTCTCTTTATCTTCCTCATCCGAAAGTTCTCCCCTAGCAAGTTTTTCATACAACGCAGCCTTTTTCTCCAATGCTTCATAGCTAGCAGAACCATCACTAACAGCCTTGAGTGCGAGCTTGTCCCTATGATGTAATATGGAATTATGTAAGCTAGCAAAAATTAAAAGCAGATATAGCAAACTGTGACATAATAAGTGCAAAAGTCAAGTAACAGCAAAGTATTGGAAGCCAAATGGCCATATTTAGATGAGCTTTCATTTTCACTCAAAAATATCAAATCCAGTATTAAACCCAAGTCCCCAAAGCCTAAATATGCCCCTGTGCTGGGTTGGGTAGGAGAAGAACTTTCTTCATCAGCCATACATTTGTAAGAAAATTAATTTCAGAGGAAGCTAGTTCAGTGACTTCATGCTCTAAGCCAGTTACAGTATTTAAAATACCAAGACCTGTTGCTCCTTGTAAACTAGGAGAAAGCTATTTCACCCCTCTCAAGCCAACTTCTTTGACAAACTCAAATAAATTTTAACCACAAAAGGAACCTCCAGAACAAAGTCAGCTCAGAAAAACCAAAATAGTACTTTCACCTGTCATAAGCCCTAATTCTATTAACTCTAGAATAATGCCTAGTCAAAATCCAAAATAACTCTTCTACATCAAAGAGAAATCTTAATGGGAGTTCTCAAGATGTATAATCTTCTACTCGTACCTCAGCAGCAATCAGTCTTCTTTATCTACTACTCCAAACTTTTTTTCATAGCTTTACCCCACACGAACCGCTAAATAATCAATCTAGAACCACATCATCTTGAAGAATCAAGCACAACCCATCTGACTTACTCGAAAGCACAATACTTGTTGCCTAGTTGGATCAAATTCTCCCTAAACATTTCAAGTGGCTATACAACATCTCTTCCCTAACGAACTCGCATTACAACCCAGTTCATCAAATTCTTACCAAGTTTCATATCCTTACTCCCAAACTCTAATTTCAATCCCTGCTTTCACTCAAACTAACCCAAAATCAGTCTCCTAATAAGTTGTCATCACCACGATATCAAACTATCAATCCTTCAATCAACATAACACGCTCCCAAACAAAAAGCAATTTTTCGGCTAGCCACTTGATAAATTCAACCGTGAAAACAAAAACCCTAATAAAATTAAATTTGGGTACAAAATCAACGAAAAACACCTAATCAATTTTAACAAAATCAATCATAAAAACAATTGGCAAAAAAATTAAGCATTCAAATGCATAAAATGAATGATTAAGAATATGCCGAAAATCCCAGAAAGAGGAGAGAGAATTACTGATGAGCCCGCGCATCAACGCCGGAATTTTTGCGAGAAAAGGCGTTATTGGCGGTGATCTTCTTCTTGGCGCGGTGATATTCAACATCAGCACCAGAAAGTTCCTTGGATTTCTTGGCATCTTCCTGGGATTTGTAGAGTTCAGCTTTGAGTTCAAAGATGGAAGAAGCACCAACACCTTCAATGGCTTTGTGCTTCTTCGGCATAATTGTGGATTCCGTCAGCCATCCTAGAGATTCTGCCCACACCGTCTTCCTCTTTTCCTCTTCTTCCGCCATTGTTGTTGATTCTTTCTCTCTCTTAGTGCAGCGGTTGTTGAGTAGTTTTCGATTTTATGGAAAACAAGGATGTGCTTGTGCTTCGTTTTCACGATTGGATTTCCAACCGTATTAATTCAGGGCAACTCAGGTTCGGGTTTGAAGCGTGTTACTCCCTAATCGCTTCGTCGCTTAATATTTGACACAGTTTCTAATTTTATCTATCCCACGATATTTGACACATTACTAAAAATGAAATAGGACCACTAATAAAAAAATATTTTTTCTACATTTTCTCTCTCCTCACCTACCCCACTCCCACACCAATTGTTGTTTTCTTACAATATAAAAATACAAAAGAGAATCTTTCAATCCATTTTGGGTGGACCTGTTCCACAATAAACTTATTGTGGACCAAAAGTCTCACGTGTCAAAACCACCAAGCAAAAGACGCCGAAAATCTTCCAGCCTAGCCCACTAACCCGTAAAACCCCAAACAAAAGAACGAAAAAGCACTGAAATCTCTTTCCCCTGCAACTTCAGCATCGACGCCATTAACAACTTCATCATCAGAGCTCGATTTTTTTTTCTCTCTCCTTCTAATCAATTCTAGGGTTTATAATTTCTCTATAATCAACCAATTTCTGCAAAAATCATGGCGAATTCTTCTATACATCCAATTGAAAATCGATCTAAATCGAAATATACAAGACACTATAGAAAATTATAATATTAACATAATCAATTTTGATTAGAACGATGAAGCTCAAATCGAAAGCTACTACGAAGGTATGAATTATAAAAATTACTGATTATCTATCTGATTTTGATCAAACTGTGCAAATTTATTGATCATTGTTTGATCTGTCAAATATAGAAAACTTGTATCATCATCCCATTTAATTCGGACTTGAACAAGAAGATGAAGCTATTGAAGATGTAGAACAAGCTATTATTGAAGTTGAGGATCAGAATGATCAACATGTAATACAAGCTCAAGGTATTAAGCGATATACGATATATATGCAAATTATGCAATTGGTTATAGAATTTGATAATGTGAATTAAGCGATTATGCAATTGCAATTGCAATTGTTTATTTGCAATTGCAATTTCATAATATTTAATAGGATTTATTAATGTGAATTATTCTCCAACATCTACATCTATCAATTCATGCAACACTTGTTTCGCACATTAATTTAGGAATTTAGCTACTAATGTTGGCTATATAAGTCAGACGTGTTATACAATGATAGGTATAATCACTTTACTTATGATATAATCACTTTAAATATAATATAATCAATTTTATAAAATTTCTACAACATAATCATCTTATATTTGGTGTACGGTATATTAATCATTTCAATAACCATTTATGTGATATAATCCTATCTTATACTCTATAATCTTCTTTTTCGCATTATAATCATGTGTAATGCAGGGGAGGGGGTTGTGTGCTGCATGTAGGCAAGGGAGGGGTACGGTTATGAGAGTTTGATTGATTCCTATGTGGTGATTCAGTGTAATCTGTATTAAAATGGTATGATTCTTTTACTTGCACTGTTGCACTGGGTATTATCTTATGGTGTTGTAACATTTTTAGTGGCCTCTTGTTTTTGGTGAATATTATAATAGATGATACTCTTCGGTTCAACTTCAACAAATAAAGGGGGTGCTTGGAGGGGAGGGGGGGGAGATATAGCTGACAATAGTCTCAATAGAATGAATAGGTTTATAGAGCATGTAGAGACATACAACATTCACTCATTAATTATCAGCAAGCGATTTATTCATTAATCAGTATAGTTCAGACCATGCACAACCCACAAAATAGCATCATGTTGTCAAAAATCAGTTGAGATAGTGCAGACTTAGTTTGTCCTTATGTATATGATATAATCACTTTTTAATGAATCATAATCATATTATGGTAATTAAAATAACCTTTTATGAGCTTATCTATTTTTATGCAATATTATCATAATAAAATCGTAAGAGTGACATTTTTTTATGTACAATCAGAATCTCATACATTATCAGCAATCAATGAAGACATTGGAGGTTGTTTAGTTGGTGCAACTAGAGAAACTTTGAAGGAAATATATGAGCTATATTGTCAACATGCTGCTTTAGTAGGGTTTAGTGTCAGAAAGTCAAAAGATAGAAAAATAGAGGGAACCGAAATAGTCAATGAGAAATACTACGTGTGTTCTGCTGAAGGGAAAAGGAACACCGGAAAAACAAAGGTTGAAGAAGAAGTCATGACAGAAGAAAGTACTTCAACAAAAAGGAAATAAGAGAAGGCAAAGAAGAGTTATGATAATAAGAACAGGTTGTGTAACATCAATACGTGCAAAGATGAATGATAAAAAAGAGTTTGAAATAGTACGTCATGTGATCCAGCACAATCATCCTTTGACAAGATAGTCACTTAATTATCCACATAGATCAGAGCGACGAATGACATCCCCTAAGGAACAAGTTATACAAGCCATGACAGAATGTGGTTTAAGACCAATCGATTCATATAATTGAATGAGTTATGAAGCTGGTGGAGAAGACTTATTGGGACATTCAAAGAAAGATCATTTCAATTGTTGCTACAAACACAAAATGAAGCCAATAAATGTAACCGATTCTCAAATTGTATGAGCAAATGACAGAGGACAATGAGTTCTTCTTTAGAGTGAGACTGAGTGAAGAAGGAAAAGTTTGTTGCTTATTTTGGAGGGATGCAATGATGTTTGAAGACTACAAAGTTTATGGATATGCTATGGTTTTTGATACTACATATAGGACAAATAAATACAACCTTATTTGTGCTCCTTTTGTAGGAATCAATAACCATTGGAGAAACACAATGTTTGCATGTGCTTTTCTTGGTGATGAAACTAAAGAATCTTTTGAATGGGTGTTCGAAACTTTCAAAAAGTCAATGCAAGGAAAATGCCCCATTACTATATTTACTGATCAAGATGCAGCAATTGCTGCGGGAATAAAAAAGGTACACGCTTCTATCGAGTATAATTTTTTTTGTGCAATAATCCTTTTTTTTTTCTTCTTTACAAAAGCCTTTGTGCTATAATCACTTGGTATAATCTTCTTTTATGCAATATAATAACATTGTATGTAGTATAATCATATATTTTTTATATTGATTATAATGTTAATTTATTTTGTATGCTTTACAGATTTTTTCAAAAGTAAGACATAGACTATGTTTATGGCACTTAAGTCAAAATGCGAATACAAGGTTTGGATTACTAAAGGCAGATAGAGACTTCAAAAAAGAGTTCCACAAAAGCTTAAGTGGTTGCATAAAAGAGAAAGAATTTTGAAGAGAATTGGAATAAAATGATTACAAAGCATAACCTTCAAAATGATGATTGGTTCAATAGGTTGTACTCACTAAAGGAAAAGTGGTGTACAACACTTAGCAAGGATTTTTTCTCTGTTGGAATTTTATCCTTACAAAGAAGTGAGAGTACAACCAAGCGATTGGATTCAATGCAAGTAAAACCACAAGCTTGATAGAATTCTTTTCTATATTTCAAGCAACAGTGAGGAAATGAAGAAAAGATGAAGAAATGGATGACTTCAACTGTACAAAAGGAATTCCTAAATCTGACCTCTATATGAGTCCATTATTGAGACATGCTTCAATGGTATATACACATACACTATTCAGAGACTTTGAGGAAGAATTCAAGTATGCCATGGCAAGCAATGTTGAACTTCTAGATCCCGAAGAAAACAACATCACTTATAGAGTTTGCATCAATGGCATATTAGGTTCAAATCATAAAGTTTGGTTAAACTTTTCAATTAGAGATATTCATTGTGAATGCAAGAACTTTGAAGAATCGGGATGGTTGTGCTTCCATTGCATAAGAGTTTTGCACCTACGTTCTTTCAATAAAATTCCAAAGCACTAAATATCTACAAGGTGGACAAGGTTTGCAAAAAAAAGAAGTTCGGGAGAGACATGATAAAAAGAAAAGAGAAAGAGGAGAACTCAACAACTACACACCATGGAGATTACACATGATTAGAAGGTAATAATATGTTCACATAGTATGTTATGATATATAATGATATAATCTAATTTATAATGATATAATCTGATTTTTAATGATATATTCTAATTTTTAATGATATAATCTAATTTATCGTGATATAATCTGATTTATAATGATATAATCTGATTTATCATGATATGATCTGATTTATAATGATATAATCAATTTTATCTTGCCTATTATCTTTTCACTTACATGCAATACAATGTAATTCTGAAGAGCCATAAAATAGTAGAAGCAAGAAAATTTCTTGAAAGAAAATTTCAAAAAGACAAACATTATGTTGACAAAATAATCAAGGAAGATGAACAAAGAAAAGCAACTGAAGAAGCAAAAGCAGCTGAAAAGGAAAAAGCAGCAACACAACAAACAAAAACAACAACAACTGAAGATGGAAGTCATCAAGCATTGTCATCATCAAGACTAACTATATTGGATCCCGATAGAGCAACTACCAAAGGGAAAGATAACAAGAGAATCAAGGGGCATTATGATTTATACAAAAAGCCAACAAAAAAAAGGGAAAAAAAGACATAAAGAATTTGGTTCTACAACTCCAAAAGTTCATTTGTTTTAGTATTTTTGGTTTATTAACGTTTTTATGTCATATACAACATAATTAGTTTTGATTTGGCATAATCAGTTTTTACTTGGCATAATCAATTTTGTATTGGTATAATTAGTTTTGACTTGGTAATCCATTTTGATTGGGTATAATCACCTCTAATTTCATATTATCTTATTTAATTTACTTTGTAAAATCCTCTCTATTTTTTTCTTTTTCTTATAATCAGAATTTAATTGATATAGTGACCAGAATAGGAGTTAATATTTCATACAAACTTGACCATAGAAGAGATCTTCTTGTGCAAAAGTAAATCAGTTATAGCTGTCAGCCATGTACTTAATTATGTAACCCAAAAGAGGAGGAAGTTGTGTATTGGTCAGGGTGGTGTCCGACCGGTTCATGCAGGCCGGGTCACCCTCTTAGAAATGCTTGTGAAGCTATGTTATTGTACCAGAGGCACAAAAAAGATTGGGAGAGGAGTGTCAAAGATCGGTCAAGGCTTATGGAAAAGCTAAAGAAAAGCAAAAATAGGAAGAAATTAAACAAGAAAGTGGCCACATAGGTGAAAAATGTTCCAGTTCTGTAGAATGTATCTGTTAGCTATTCATCTTATATACTCATATTTGGTATACTCATAATCATATTTAATATTATATAATCATATATAAGTTG